TGATAGCTATAGTGTCAGCCAATGGGATTTGACAGTCACGACTTTATTTCGTATTTGAATTTTCATTTTTTTTTCTACAAATCCAATTCATTTGAAATATGAAGTATCTATTCTTCAAAAATATGAGAATCTAATAAAAATATATAAAAAAAACAATTCGCAAACTATAAATTGATCAAAATACCCCTGAAATATTTCAGGGTATTTTTATCAATTTATATTTTATGAATTATTATTTTTATATTTTTATTAGGTGCGGCTTGCTTAGAAGAATGAATGTCTAAAATTTCAAGTGATTTGGATTTGTAGAAAAAAAAAAAATTCATATACGAATGATATTGTAACCGTCAGATAAGCCTAAATTGAATCTGAGCCATTGGCTGAGACTGTAGTAGTCAGTCCGTGGGCTGACAGAATCCACTATATATATATATATGGAAAATGCTCCCGTGAGCCAGCTCACGCATAGGAAATAGGTGCTCTGAATGGCTCGGATGGTTTGCCGAGTGTGAACGATTGGATGTTGCCCCTTTCAAAATAGTAGGATGTCAGTCATAGCTGACAACCTCAGTCCTACTCGCAGAGCCTCTCTCTCATCTTGCACAACCAACATGCACTCTCTCTCTCATCTTGCACACCCAGCACGTAATCTCTCTCTCTCATCTCGTCATCCTTGCTCGCAGAGGTCTCTCTCATCTCTCACACCCAGCACGCAGTTTCTCTCTCTCATCTCGCCATCCCTGCTAGTAGAGGTCTCTGTCATAACGTTCTACTAAAACCAGTCTCTCTCTCATCTCGCCCTCCCTGCAGTTGGGTTTTTTTTGAGCACCCTCACAACGAAGGTAGTGGTGATTTGCAGTTTTACTTTGTGTTTTTATTAGGGCTTTATATATACTCAAATGGAATCCATGGATTTTAGGGGCTTTTAGTTGATTATTGGGCTTTTTGTTTATTAAAAAAGTGTCCTTTCAAACAAATCTGCAATTTGGGTTGTTAATAGAAATTTGGATTTTTTATTTTATTTTGTAATACTTGAATGCCATCCATTAGTGTTGCTCTATTAGCTTGACAAAAACCATCCGAGCCATTCGACGTGCCTATTTCCTATGCGGGAGCGGGCTCACGGGAAAATTTCCCTATATCTATATATATATATATTATAATATATTTAATAAATTTATACTTAATAATATTTTTATGTAATATAATATATTTGAGAAAAGATTTCATGCAACGGTTGTATCGTAATATAATGCAAGAATCTTAAAAAACCATGTTAATGCCATTTGTTTTGATCCCAATTTTTAAATGTACACTCTTTTCATTCCATTGAACAATCACAGAAAAAACAAAATTTGAAAATACACCTTAAAAAGTGCTATTTTAGCCTAATCAACATAAGCGGTTCATTTTCTTATGCTGCTTAAATCTAGACCTTAGAAGGATTTTTCTCTTTTCAAAATTTTTTAGCTAGGAAACTAAATCCTATAATATTCAAGAATACGAAATAAAATTATATATAAAACTCATTCCCTAATAAGATAGAGCGACATTCCAGAAACACTAAATTAAGATTTAGACGAGATAGCGAGATTCCGGAAACACTAAATTAAGATTTAGACGAGATCCACTCTAGGATCGAGGGAATAAAGGTTCTACGAGGGATCGCCAAGAAGGGAGGCGATCCCGGTAACTATGACTCCAACCATCTACTACTAAACAAAGATGCAAATCTCTACGCGCTCTGTAGTGACGTCTGGAACAGATCCCACAAGGAAGCTTATCCAAATATTTCTCAATAAAATTACTATGAGCTCCTTTGGATCGTAGGGTAAATAAAATCATGATGATAACATGATTATGTAAAACCTGATTATTGGAACATGACTGTTTGGATATCTTCTAGATAATACTCAAGTTTTGTTTGGGTCATCTATTTGCTGAGTCTACATGATTTAAGACATATTTGGTAGGTATGAAAGCATTTTTGTGCAAAATATTTTGATGTGAAAATTATGCTCGAGAAATACATATGAAAAATATGAAAAAATTTCTCATGGCCAAAAAGTTTATCAAAATTTTAGAAAGAGAAACTATATCAAATTTTAGAAAAAGACAAACTATCTAAAACAATTTATAAAATAAACTATCTAAACAACTTAAAAAAAAAACTATCTGAATTTTAAAATTTTAATGAGATAAAGTACTTGAAAATTTTTAGAAAAACTACCTCAAAAATTATAGAGAGAGAATCTCAAATTTTTTTACAGAGAAACTGACTCAAATTTTAAGTTTTAGAAAAAATATTTTAAAATTTTAGAGAGAGAAACTATCAAATTTTAAAGAGAAACTACCTGAAATATTTAGAGAGAAAATATCTCAAAAGTTTAGAGCAAAACTATATCAAATTATATGAAGAAAAACTATTTGAAAATTTATAAAGAAACTATCTCCAATTTTTTTTTGAAAGAATCTATCTCAAATTTCAAATTTTTAGAAAGAGAAATTGTTTCAAATTTTTTTGATAAACTATCTCAAAAATTATATTTTAGATAGAGAAATTATCTCAAAATTTTTAGAAAAACTATCTCAAAAATTATACTTTTAGAGAGAGAAGTCTCAAAATTTGTATAGAGAGACACTATAGCAAATTTTAAATTCTAGAAAGAAAGTATTCTATAATGTTTAAAGAGATGAATCACTCTTTGATTACATTAATAGGTTTTGCTAGTGGAGAGAGGTAGACAACATAGTTACAAATTACAATTCATGGGTTTTCTTCAAGAGAGGGAATTAAGATGATAGCACTAGCTCAGGAGAGAACTACATTCATCATATTCAAAGAAATGTAATATAAGCCACAGCTCATGAGTTCAGCATTCATATTCAAGAAGCATCAAATAACTGCATTGAAAACTAATTGAGAAATAAGAAGATGACAAATCCAAAACAACTCCAAAAAAGAAGTATAATCCACTCTGGGCGAGATGAAAATGCATGCATTGGGCAAGATCCTAGTACTTGATGTAGATTTGAAATTAGAAACATTGCAAACAATCACTTACCATGCCACTATGAGTGACTATGAGTGAGGAAGAAATGATTGTTTGGATCTGCAAGAATTATGGCAACTAAGATATTGATGACTTGTCATATGCTTTTTTATTTGAAAAAAGGAAGTCAAGTCCACAAATATCAAAAAGCATCTGACAAGTCCTCAATATCTCATATGCCATATTTCTTGCGGATCCAAACAATCATTTCTTCCTCGTTCATAGTCAAGAATATGTTACTCATAGCTGCATGGTAAGCGATTGCTTGACATACTGCTAATTTCAAATCTACATCAAGTACTGAGATCTTGCCCAATGCATCATAAACACTCTTGATATATGGCCTTTCTTCCTCACGCAATTGGTCCATAGCCTCTCCCAATCTTTAACCCATTCTATCCAATAATGCGCCACATTAGTTTTCTTCCTCTTTTTGCCCTTCTTTGTTGTTGATCGTGCCTCAAAGGTTGCAGCACCCTTTCCAACTGACGTCCTAGGCATTAAGGGCTCCTCTACCTCATCATCTTGTTCGTTAACCTCCTCATCCATTCCTACGACATTTTCCCCATCAAATCCAACATTACGAGTAGCATTGGCTTCAGCACAGGTCCTAGCCCCACCACCATCAGCGATGTCATCACCAATGATAATACATAACTCCCTCCAACGTGTCACAGGTTTGTCTTGGAAAGGTTTCGCAGCTGGGCGACTCTGTGGGACATGTAGGAAACATTAATTAATACACATTTCACTACTCATGGAAAACAAATTAATAAAAGATACATCAAAGGGGAAGATGTATACCTTCAATTAATCATTCCAAAATAGATCATCAGCATAAGACATTTGTTGTGATTTGTTCCATCCAACTGCACTTTGGCTTTTCAGTTCCTTTATGGCTTTGTATTTGTCTTTCAAGTTCCGATACTTGTACTTAAATAGTTCTTTCTGTACATTCATCCCAAACTCTTTATTGAATTTAACTTGATTTGCTTTCCACGCCTGTTTTCTAAACATTTTCTGCTTTTTTTCCTAGGCTTGTTTGGTCAATGAGCAAGTCCAAAATAAAGTTCCATCTGCTGAGTCCACGCTAATTTCTTCGACCCAGTTATTGACTGGCTGCTCACCTCTTCAATATCCATTCCTAATACAGCATGAAGAAAAATAGGAAACCATAACAACTTCCATAATAACCCAATATGAAACCATAACAACTACCATAACAAGTCAATATGTAATCATTACATGATGATGCTATAAAAAATAAAAAATAAAAAAATAATAGAAACCCTGTGGCAATCATTGAACTTCATTCCATAAACATTCAATATGATGTCATCATGATCCTAACATAATTTCTTATGCATTACATACACCTAGACCAATTTCTTATGCATTAATATCAGCATAGTAATCTTCCTATATTTTATTTGCAATATCATCTCGAAATTTCTCCCACTCATCTCTCTCTCTCTAGCCCCTCCCATAAGTGTGCAAGATTGGTGTTTCAATGGATTCATCATCGTCACTGCCATCATCATTCTCACTACCATCATCATTCTCATCTTCCTCAATACCCTCTTCGTCCATAATGAAATTATGGAGGATGCAGCATGCGAGAACTATCTTCACTTGTGTTTAAATTGGGAAAGTGGTTGTTGTTTTCAATATAGGGGATCGTGCTTTCAGAACTCCAAAGGCACGTTCTATAGCATTACGTAACGATGAATGTCGGAGGTAGAACATTCTTGTGCCGTGTTAATGGGACTTCCATCATTAAATTCATTTAAATGGTAGTGATTTGACAATAAGGAGAAAGGAAACCAAGGATGTTTGGGTAGCCAGCATCCACAAGGTAGTATTTACCTACATAGAGAAAGTACTAAATATATCATTGTATTCCAATACACACACACACACACACACACATATATTACACTTAGTTTTATCCTACGTCTATAATGGCATGGAAGAGGGTCCATCCTTATCAATGCAAGAAGATAAGACACGATAGTCCGCTGCAGAACCCTCCCATCCCGCAAGTACATACTGAAATCTTCAGTTGAAAGAGCAAACGGTTTATGATTCATGAGAATGTGAATGTTTAATTATGTTTAATTTATTGTCTTAGAAAATGTTCAATTTATTGTCTTAGACAAAGGGCTTGTTGTGATTCATCAGAATGTAAAAAAGAAAGAGCAAACGGCATAACATTTTGCGAAAGGAACCCCTTTATAATGCGATAGTTAGCATGCACACTGGAGCTCACAGTGACAGGGATGTGTGTGCCATCAATGGCCCCGACACAATCCTATGATTGCAAAATTAATGTCAGAAGGCAGCTTGTCTGTTAAAATGGGGTAATTCAACACAATTGTAGATGACATTCATTACCTTCAAGTAATCTCTAAACCTGTCCACATTGTTAATCTGAGGAGGCGTCGCCAAAGCAGGTGGTTTCATAAAATCACGATAGAGGGCTAAGATTGCATTCAACACTCTATTAAAATGTCGACTCGCTGTCTCGCTGGAATAGCCAAAATCATGACCAATTTTCCGATTCTTCAAATTGTGGCTAAGAGTATGTAGGAACATGACCAGCTGCTCTTCCAATGTTACATTATGGTATCTCGTATATTGCCTCTCTCTTTGAGAATATCTCTTAGTACAAAGAAGGTCCTCGGACTCATTCTAATTTGGTTGTGGCATTCGACATCATCGTTGATTATAGTTTACATAGGATTTCTAAATAACCATCGAGGATGAGGTGGTCTCTCGACAATATTGGATATTGTAGCTTTCGCAGTTGCAAAGGCTGCTGCATATGCAACCAAAGCTGCAACATACTTTTTTCTCTTCCCAAGTTTAACCGCATCAGTGTCCAGACATGATTTCAAGTGGTGCCTAGAGACTAAGATATAACTTGTTAATTCGATCAGTTACAAAAGTAAATCACATGTAAAGACTACGACTATTTACAAGTTCAAGATCTAGTTACCCTTTGATCAACACAGAATAATTGATAAATCTAACAAATTCTTTAGCTCCTAACAATTAAAGTACCAATGATAATGCTTATCCATGATAATTCCTACAAAGTACACAAATACTACATATTTGAGAGAGAGAGAGAGAGAGAGAGAGTACAGCATTTTCTTGTTTCTTATTTTATTATCAACTTAGGATGAGAGTACAGCTTAGACTAAGTTTTTACAAAGCCCCACATGGATTAAAGGAACAGATAGAATCAAACTTAGCAGGTGGCATGGAACCTCATAAAGCAATTGAGAATCCATGGCAGGACTACAAAAGCTGGAAGCAATATTGCAATTCTAGTCTTCTGAGAAATCAATTGAATAACACAGAGAGAAGAGCCAAGCTAAAAATTAAGAAAGGCAAGAGATCCTAGTTAAAAGAATAGAGGTCCACTGTGGTTTCTGGATCCATTTAAAAGGGGAAAAGGATGATAAGACAATTAGTTCCACCAAAAAACATAAGAAAAAAAAGAAGAAGTGATAAATTTAAAAGGGGATCAGGATGATAAGACAATTAGTTCCACCAAAAAGCATAAGAAAAAGAAGAAGAAGTGGATAAGACAATTAGTTCTACCAAAAAAAATAAGAAGAAAAAAAAAAGTGATAAATTAGCTAGATTTTTCTTTTTAGACATTAGCACCTGTACAGAATATCATTTCATCCACATCAAATAATCTAAAGAAAATTTTGACATTAGAGCATCCAAAGCCTAAAATGCATGCATTTAAATCAGTATTTGGTACATCACATGCATAATTGATGATGGCACATTTAATCCACATCAAATAATCTAAAATTTTTTGACATTATAGCATCCAAAGCCTAAAATGCATGCATTTAAATCAATATTTGGTACATCACATGCATAATTGATGATGGCACCTGGTACATCACATGCATAATTGATGATGGCACCTAGTACATCACATGCATAATTGATGATGGCACCTCCCTCCCTCCCTCATTTAAATCAATATTTGGTACATCACATGCATAATTGATGATGGCACCTCCCTCCCCCCCTCCCTCCCTCCCTGATTCAAGCAAATACCCAAATCGATAAGCAATATTGCAACACCCATCAATCACCTGAAGAAGCCACAGCCAGTCTTTTGAACCCATGAATCACTAGTTCAACAAATCAAATTCATTTTACAGAAGCATTAACATTCAAAAAAGAACAAATCATTTCGCTGAAGTTTAACGCACAAAATACTCCTAGATACTATCACGACCATGTTCCAAATAAAAAAATGTATTGCTTTTATGATATTGATTTATACTAAAGACGAGTATTACAATGAGAGGACAACATAAAATGAGAATAGCAATAGAAATTTTAGGAGCCCAGATAGAACCAGAGTGCTACTACATAAAATGAAATGAAAAAAAGCTACAAAGAAAACCCAATCTATCTAACAAATAGCAGTACTTAATATCTAAATCAAACAAACAACCACAAAAAAATTAGAATCTGATATCACACTACACATACGCTTCACTAAAAAAACACAGGAGTAAGGATTGAAAAATAACACAGGAGTAAGGATTGAAAAACAACCAGAGAGCTAGTATTAAGGAAATAAATTTTAAGTAAAGAAAAACTGAGAGATGGGGGAGGAAGGGCGTAGTTAACTAACCTGCTCAAGTTATCATCATGTACTTTGCCAAGTGTTGCAACTATACGAAGCACATCTGAAATTATGGGTTTTGGAGATGTATGCAAGCTTTTCAACTTGCACAATATGCTAGCTGCCATCTTTTCTGGCATTGTATCTGTTCAAGTGTGTTCTGATCAGACTGTTTGCTATTATACGCATGCTTGTTGACCTGGGATGTAACCAAAGCATGCAACTTCCCAAGACTGCCTGCATTGATCGATACATTAGTATGAAAAGGAAACAGTAGCTATAAATCGATAATTTAATCTTCGAACTACATATTGGAGTGGGAAACTTATGCAGAAAATCATGGATTAAATTTCCAGTGAACTTTAATATTTTGTTTCTGCTGTGGCATGGAAAAAATTAGACATAAAACAGATAATGGCAGTAAGAATTCAATTTTGTGTGTTAAAATACAAGTTCCATATTTTAATATAATAAAAGACCAAAGTAAAGACACTAAAATGCAAGGAGATTCAGTCTTATCAGGCTAGATATCCACATTTGGCCCTTTTCATTATCGAAATTAAAAAGCATCCACTAAGAATGGATTTTCATGAAATTTGAAACTTCAGTTTGGGTATCGTGATACCATCATTTAACCTCACTAATTTTAAAAAGCATAACAACTAGTCTACTTGTGCTTTCGAGGACCTTGAATATAATCATGCAATCCAGCAAGACAGTTAATCTAAGCAAAACAAATCAACATGTGGTTGTGCTCAAGCAAGAAATGCATGGCAAACTTTGCAAGTGAAAAATCAACTGATCTTACTTGTCCATTTGGTCGTTGAGAAATGCACAGTTGCCTTCATAATGTTCAATTTTCAGCAGTTAACAGCATCAAAAAAAAAATTGTTTAATTTTCAATCCCAGCTTTTGTAAATTTTCAAAATTGAGAGACAGGGGAGGAAAGCGGTAGCCAAAAAATAGTTTTTCAATTGATAAGGCAACAAGCAATCATCAAACTTTCAAAGTTAAACCAAAAACCGATACATTGGAACATGACAATAGACAAAAATATGAGAAGTATATTTTTAGGGCACAAAAATGAGAAGTAGAAAAAAAGAAGAAGAAAGAAACATCCATAAATAATCAGAAAATAAAACCCCCCAAACTTATTGGTGAAGATGAGGACTAGCTCTAATAATTTGTGTTTGAGAATAAACCTTAAAAAACTCCACTATAACCACTTCTCCCAATTACTTTACATCAAACCCTAACCAAAACAATAGCCCCACAGCCAAAACTGTGAATGTTCCTAAAACCTCTCAAAAAGATCCCAAGCCCCAACCACATCCAATACATGAACTAATAAATATACTCTGCAACAAAACCTGGTTTCGAGTAAATGCTATAGCAAAAGAAAACACAATAAACAAAAGCATTAATCGAGCAAAAGCGCACTAAAAGATGAAAGGAAAATCAAGAAAAGAAAAAATGGGGCCCTTGAAACCTAACCGAAATGGAAAGGAAAAATCCACCGTTCTGCTCTATTTTATGTCGTTGCAAAACACTGATCTCTAGTGGGTTTCATCTCTCTCTCGCTCTCTCTCTCTGGTTTTCTGCAGCTAATTGACTTGTTACTTGAGTTGATATGAAACCCTAGGTCAACCGTTCTCTCTCTCTGGTTTTCTGCAGCTGATTGACTCGTTACTTGAGTTGATATGAAACCCTTGTTCAACTGTGCATAGGGTTTCGTGAGAGAGATGCAGAAACGGGTGGCGAGCCTCAATTGATTCGCACCCATGATTATACAAAACCATGTTTTGCCTAACTCAGTTTTTTTCTTGACTTTGGGAACCCCCGTTTTGCCTTTTTGTGCTTACACAGAACACGGTTACGTGACTAAAAAAGGTGTCAAACACGTTTTTTGGCGGAATACCCTGGTTATACAAAACCATGTTTTGTCTACCCTAGGATCCAAACAAGCCCTATCTCATGATAGGATTTCCCATGACCTAAACTTGACATGCGGGACACTGCATCAAGAAACTGCAATATTTCCACAAACATATTTCACATATCTGTCTGCATTTAAATATGAATTATTAAGTCAAAGGAGATCCCATAGCCTTCAAAGGGTAAAAGATAAGAACCAGAAATTCAAGGGAACATAACATAGTCATATTCTGAGACGCAATAAACTAGGTGCTGAAGCATCACCATTTACTAAGCTTTCTATGAACAGAAGCAACACCATGTCTATGACCTCCGATTTGTTCACAGAAACACTTAAATCAGCCAGCAAGCGTATTACATTCAATTGTACAACAGGAATAGCCTATTTCTCTTTTCCTTCCTGGAAAGACGAAACATTAAATCATGTTGCAATGAATTTGTAGACAACAAGTGGAATTTTGCTTCTTATGAATTAGCAAGAAACTAGAGCTATGAACATGCAGAAAATAGCATGAGGAATTCAAAACAGAATGGAGTAGCAGGAAAACAAAACAAAATACCATATGCTGAAAGGGAAACAGAAAACAAGAGTGTAATTGAAAATGGATGTTATATCTTTCTGACACCGTGAAAACATGTGTAAAATAATGTAATTGCATACATATGATATAATGTTTGGTGACAAAATAAGTGGAGGAAGGAGCAATAAAATAACACATGTTACATTGGACTTTAGAAGAGAACCAAACAGCAAAGTAGCATGTACATCCACGTTAGGGTGCATTAATGCACTCATGTTTGAAAATGTAACATGTATCAGAGTGAGATACACTAGAAATCAAAATGCACCTATATTTAAAAATGCAGGGGCTATCTATGTGAAACACATAGGAAAACAACATAACCTGTATCACAGACATGTCCAGATCATATACTGGCATGAGGGTTGACAAGAAAAGGAAAACAAAGGACTCAATCAAATTTAATGCCTATAAATCGTGCAATACATCAGCCCCCTTCATCAAGTACAAACAACAGCCTCTCTCTAAATGATATGAATGCCAACTACAAGCCCGATAAACATCCACAAACAATCTCAGCAACCCATAAACAATTGAACTAAAGGTATCTTTAATTTTCAATTTTAATTTCATTCCCTGTTGAAATTGGGCTCCCAAATTAAATTTATTGCAAAACCACTCCAACTCATTTTGCCAAAAATTCAAATCCCCCCCCCCTCTCTCCCCCTACCGTAACCCCATCACCACTGGCACCACCACTACCACTGCACCACAACTCTGCCACCCACTCCAGCCTAGCCACCACCACTACCACTGCACCACAACTCTGCCACCGACTCCAGCCTGGCCACCACCACTACCACTGCACCACAACTCTGCCACCCACTCCAGCCTGGCCACCACCACTACACGACCCACTCCACTACCACCACCTCCACCACACTACCTTTTCCACCACCACCAAATGACCACTGCTCCGCGACCATACTGCCTTTTCCACTGCAAACACAGCACCGCCACCATCATCACCACCACCACTTCACCACCACTACCACCACCACCACCACCACCACTCCACTATAAGTGTATGACAGATGCACCAAACACCAGAGCCATCGCTCCACCAGCCTGCTGACAACACCATCATATAACTCCCACTACCAGCACCACCACCACTTCCACACCACTGCCACGACTCCACCTGCTCCACCACCAACATCACACCACATAATAGCAAATTGCATTTCAAATTGAAACAATCAAACACCCTTAGATCACAAAATGATAAAGGACAATTTGCCATTTAATCAGTTACAATTTGAAAAGAAAATAGAAACATGGGACAAAATTCGAAATCAGAGGCATCAAGAGCTCAGTGGAGAGAAAAGGAAAAGAAAGGACAGACACATTTATTGCTTATGAATGGAAGTAATAAACATCAAGCTGCCTTCATTAGTTACAAACACCAGCTTCTCTCTAAAATATAACTACAAGGCCGAAAAATATCCACTAATGATTTCAGCAACTCACCATGATTTTTATTTATTACTTACCCCTAAACAATCAAATAATACATATAACAAAGAGAATGTTAAAGTGAGGTGACTCCAAATTTAAACTACTTCAGTTCTGTAAGGCTGTAAATAACAACATACCAGGCCAGCATATCATCTTTGCTGATTTATTAACAAAATTAATTATATAAGTATACTAAATGAAAAGTAAGTAGATCAAACCTAAAACTACATTACACATGATCTATTTGGAAGCTTTCGAGGAATTGTCCAAAAGACTTTATGTGGATCAGAATTAGCAAAAAAAAAAACCAGAGGAATATCAAACATACTTTCCCATGGCAGAAGGTCGCTCAAGCCTAAACACAACAGTTGACACTATCCCTTATCTGCAATTGTATTTAGGTTGCTGACAGTCATTCAGGTGCATTCTCGCATATCTTTTCCTGAATGCCTTATCAAGCAAAACCATTTCCTTGACAGACTTTAAGAAGCTATAAAAGCTTTCCCACCTCAAAACTCATGAAGCAGGAAAAGCCTTTCAACCAAGCCATTCCCCACAAGTTAAGACTTATGAAAAGATTCCACCCAATTTTGAAGGGCCTGCAGAAGATGTTGGCACAAAGTCTAGACCCAAGTCCATTATATACAATATTCAAAACTTGTGCCTCCCTTCAACTTGGAACCCTTTATCTTTGTGCCTGAAAAGAAATAAAAACATCAACCCAAAGAGTTCTATGTTCCACCTCGTTGAACTCTGGGTCCAAGAACCATCTTCTCATTTGCCCCAAAATCATGTCTTCCACCATTTAAGGAGAAAAGAAACCTTATCATCATAGGAACTTCCTAAATAGATGACTTCTACAACATTTTAGGCTTGGAAGAGGCAAGATGGCAACAAATGCCTCAAGATGGTGGTGAATCATCATGATTTTGAAGGAGAACTTAAACAAAAATTCTAATGCTTGAAGTAGAAAAGAAAGCTTGAGACCATCAAGGTCCATGACTTCTTCACTCACTTCGAGTTTTGTCTATCTCATTGACCAACTAGAGGCTATAATAGACAATTCAAAATTTCAAATGATGATTGGAAACCCATAGAAGTAGTTCAAATCAAAATGAAACAAACTGAAGCAAATTCCTAAGGGGATGGACCATGGTTATGGACCAGCAAGAACTAGAAAAATTCCAATTAAAAATGATCACCTAAGGGCCTAGGTTTAACCCAGATGTTTGGAGTGGTGAACTTAGGCATTGGATGAACAAT